TAAATATACCTCTTGATTGTGTTGACGTGATTGTGCCAGCACAATTCAGTCATTGTAACAGCACAATCCAAAAAACAATATATGTTAAGTAGTAATTGTTTTAATTACTTTACATGTTAGTAAGTAACATGCAAGGAGAGATTGAATCTTTAATTATATAAGCCCATACATTGGTTCATCCTCTTGGAATGCATGCTAGAGTATTTAAAACTCAGTTATTGGATTGTGGATCTTGGTGAAAACATGGACTTAATGGTCGCTAGGAGATATATCAGGTTTGGGGTTTTCTCATGATGTAAAATCGATTATAATTTTGCTTTTATTCAGAAATGTTGGATGGTTTACATTTGCTATTAATATCAAACTCACCATTATGAATACCAGCATATTAAAACATCCATTGCCAAACATCATAAGCTTTCAATGCATGTGAATTTCAAAAATATTTCCTTAGTCTCCCACACACACTCTTTAAAATAGGGGGCATCTTAAGGGGTAAATTAATTATTTCTGCTTAAATTTTATTTTATCATTTATTATTATGAACTATTATGAACGCCAGTCATCTATATTGGTCTAAAATGAAAGAAAACTATCAATACTATGCATGGGTATAAGGTGTGGAAAGTAAATTAAAAAGTATAGATGATGGTTTATCTGAAAATAATACAAATCCAAATTATATGGACATTTTTTTTTCTCAAAAAGTTATAAAGCTATGAACATAGGGTTACTGCATTTTCTCAACAGCATAATTATACATATTCAGGAATATTTTTAAGCCAGAATCCTGAATAACACAAAAGTTACGGAAGTTAACTTAAGCACCCCCTTTAAAATAGGGGCGTTTTAAGGGGTTAATCAACTATTTCTCCATAAATTATGATTTTCACACATTGAAAAAAATTTTAATGCATAATTTAATGTACCATTGATCAATTTAAGCTATTTGAGATGTCTTTATGTTTAAATTATGAAAATAATAATTAGTTTTAAGTTTGGGGGTGAATTGTAGGGGGCGCCACCTATAGGACCAGTTTTCACATTCGTTGCCGGGGCTAGGACAGAGAACCCAAGCTCAAAATAAGCCCAAGACCTTGCTCTACATGAATCCAGTGAGAAACTTAGGGGACAAACTTATTTTTTTAAATTTGCTCAGCTGCTGACCTATATGAAGTATTTGATTAGACTGGGGTCGGATTATCTCAGACTCATATCCCATTTTTACTTTCCTTCCCATGTAATGGTCTTCGAGTTCAGTCCCTTCCCCACAAAGCTTTTATACAATCGAATGGGTTGGGATCGACACCCATAGTTTCAATACCCTTTGCATTCGTTTGACTTCACTTCTTAAAAGAGAGCTTCGTCTTGTAGTTTAACTAGACTCTGCACGCAGGGTATAGTTTCAACGGAAGGAATGCTACCTAAGTCTTCATCACCAACGCAACTGTACAGTCAAAATCGTGTTTCATTCACTTTAATTCTACAATCTGTATAATTAGAACAATAAGTTTCTACTTGGGAGCATTACACCCTGGATTAATGAGGGGGAGGGGTATCGATACAAATTATAGGGTATTTGGTCCCATATAATATAAACTCAGAGACCTAAGATAGATGCTACCCTTTGCATTTGTTCGACTTTGCTTCTCAAAAGAGAGCATCGTCTTTATTGGGTATATGGTACTGACTTTGCCCAGCATAATATACACTCAAAAACCTGAGATAGATCCTACATACCCTTTGCATTCGTTCGACTTTGCTCCTCAAAAGAGAGCTTCGTCTTTATAGGGTATAGGGCACTTTGCCCAGCATAATATACACTAAGAGACCTGAGATAGATTCTACCCTTTGCATCTTTATAGGGTATAGGGCACTTTGCCCAACATAATACACACTCAGAGACCTAAGATAGATCCTCCCTTTTGCATTATGTTCGACTTTGCTTTTCAAAAGAGAGCTTCGTCTTTATAGTTTATAACTAGACTGCGCTCGGGGTCGATAGATCCCGACAAGAATTTCTAATTCTGACACAACAGGCAGGTGGATGATAAGTGCCTTTCCATCACCTAGGCTGCACAACTGCCTGCAAAACAAACTTGATCATGTTCTTATCTCTGCAGTTATTCAATGTTTTTATTCCAGCACAACCTCTGTTATTTTCATGTCATGACCTCAAAAACAGAGAAGAATGAAGGCTTTTCGGGTAAACATTTTGCTTTGTTTTGTTCTGTGATAATTGTGTCGAAGTCGTCCGAAAATGCAGGCGTTCGTTTTTTTGTTGGAAAGATCGGTGAACTGATTATTCATGATTTTTGATAATGTGACACATGTTCAAAATTATGTCAGCTTTAAGGTAAGTTTATTGAGAACTGACTAATTTTCACATTAGTTTGTTTTGTTCCTGCTTGGGTCTCTTAAAAGAGGGACTTCGGTAATCTTGATTCAAGCACTAGTGACCTCCTCCCCCTAGACACCTCACCAGCTCCAGAATGTAGCTTGGGGTGAAGCATACAATACGGGGAATCCAGAGACTCACGCAAAACTAGAACTTTGGTAAATCAGATTGGTTATCTGACCCCAATGACATAATTGATTTACATGACGTAGGAAAGTTAAGTATCAAAGTATCAATTAACAGTTAATTCATTTGAAAGTTTTACCAGATGTGGAATCATGTCACGTTCCATAGTGTACATCCGATATATCTTGACCACATTCACAGTCCGCAATTGCTATTAAATTTAAATTAAGCAGACCTAATAGATTTTACTTGAGGTTTCGCGTGTGCAGCTAATTACATGACGTCATCAGTATCAGTGCATGTTTCGATTCTTTGGGGGTTTCATCTAGTTGTTACTGACCCCAAAACATCAGGGTTATCAGAATATGGATAGAGGTCTTCCCTAGGCCCTAAGGACAGGGCGGAAGATGGAATGGTTCGAAAAGTACAGGGGATTGAGTCGGGTCGGTGAGGGAGGGGAGTGTGACCGCATGTAATGTTTGCGATTGTAAGTAAAATAGATCGTATATCAATACGATACATTATATTAATCAAGTTCTGTGATGTCTTAACATTTTTAAGTATAACAATTATACTTTTCGTGGTATGTTGTTTAAGAAATTACAATTATTGATGAAACTGCTGAGATAAAAACACGAAAGCATCATCAAAATTAAATCTTATATTAGCCAATCCGTAATGTTGTGGTCGATTATAGAGGTCAATTATAACGTGCTTCACCCTTTATTTACAACGTGGTGGAATTTAAACTTTAAATGATGTTTTCTACTTCATTTGCCGAGCCCTTTTGTGACATTATGAGGTAAGGGTGTTTTCAGGTTAACCAATATCCGCATTTTAATGGCAAATCAACTTTAGCGTTTTCTTTTCTTTATCCTATGGAAAACCAATTATTTTAATTTAAGTTAAACATTCTAACATCCTTCGTTTTATGTAAATCGTATTTATGGAATGTTGATTGTGACACGTCACTTAACATTGAATTAAGTTCGAACTGTGTGCGCGAATTCAAGAAATCATTTGTTCGTATTTCCCCTTGACAATTTCGTTGAAAATGGTCACGTCCCACGTCAGTCGAAGATGCAATTGTGTCAGTGAAAGTAATGGCATTTTAATCGCCTTTGTAGGTGTTTTCTGACATCTGGATGCATTGTATAATATTTTATTTTTGTAATTTCTATGAAACAAGGATTTGAAAGAGGATGACACTTCACTTTCATAACCTTTTTAAATGTTACTACATAATCACAGTCTAACGTTCACTTCCTAATAATATAATATGAATCAAATGATACATTCCAATGCACTATTGATTTAAAATTATTGCCGCTGTGCGATAAACTGATTTGGAATAGCAAGGACAGATGAACAGGAATTATGAACTCAGCATTCAGACAATTTTCTTCAAACAATTGAGGAAAGATATATCATGATTTTGATTGTCCTTATGTATCCTCTACTTGTCTGCCATAGTTAGTCATAATTCCAAGAGTCATTAATATCCTTCCTGTTCTAAACAATCGAAGCAGGATAAAACCACACATATTAGGATTAGGATTATTAAAATTGTTGTTATCTTTAGATTGACAGATCCACTTTTAAAATAATATCAAGGGGAAACAAAGCATTTATTTATATTGCACTATTTGTAGATTTAGCATCTCCTGCGGCTTGCCGTCAACCTTGGGATAACTGAGTCATTTCTGAACCAATTTTCCTATTTAGATTACCCATAATGCAAAAGTCGTCTGCGAATGTTTATTTCTCCCAATTTCTCTCTAGAATTTGAAAGAAGTGTCAGATTTCTTTGGTGTATGTGTAGATTGAAGTGCAGACTTTATGTCCGTTTACTTTTTATTGCCATTTCTAATTTTATATCACTGAATATTGCAACCAGAAACATGACAAAACTGTCGTAATTTGGGTAATCTTGAGTTATCTTGCATAATAGCTATTTAACATGTTCAACCCATGAATGTGCTGCAATAGATTACGAATCATTGCATATCGATTTGTCTTCATAAATCAAAATTACAAAATTCTTTGACGACCTCAATTTGTGTAGGTAATTGTTTCTAGTAGATATGACCTTTTAGTATAGCCCGATAGAGCCATTGTAGCCTGCCTTATTTTGACTTTAATTTTCTATTTTCAGCGATATTTTCAAGAATGAAAAACAAATCGAGACCGAAGGGTATTTTATGGTTTTGAATCATTTTATAGAGAATTCTAACTCAGATTTTAATTCGTCATATTATATTATTCATTTTATTCTACCTTCCGTACCGTACCCCCTAAGAAACACGATCAAAAATTGATATCGATCATCTTCAAATTTCCAGATACGGATTCAAAAAGTCCGTCGAGCTACGCAGAATGCAGTGAATGAGCTAGAACACGCCACGTTAATCAAATAAAATGAATAAGTCGGAATCTCTTACGGCAAAAATCACGAATCCCTATAATCAGTACTTACATTTTCTCTAGTTTTCCAGTCATCGCTTCGCTCTCAACAATATATTTAGCCTCAATCTTACTATGCACCCTTGAATCCAAGCTCTGTGAAGTGAAAGTCCCGACTAACTAACTAACGATTTGACGAAGCCCAGATGAATCTACAATCGTCCAAATCGAAAGTCTTTTGTGAATAAGTGTTCTGATTAGATCATTAGATTGCGAAAAATCGAATAAAAGAATAGCTTGGTAATGACGTTAATTCAGAGAGAATTCTCTCCAGGAATTACTGCCATCTTAACCACCTGTGTTCAACCCTTTCTCAAAATGTCACGGTTGGCACTCTTTCAAATAAAAAATGGGAAAGATTTGAAGAGAAATGGAAGCCAAAACAGAATAAAATACCTAGATGTACAGTATACCCTCTTTGCAAGGAACTCAAGCAGTTAATTGGGAGTTCTGGAGAAAACATTCGTTGAATAAGCAAGGCAGGTGGGGAATTTTCAACATGGGTAGGTAACCTCGCTGCTGTCCCAGGTACCCCTCCTTATATCATGTGGCTATGTCAAAGCAATCACATTTGAGGATTCTCTGAAGTAAAAGTCCGGGGATCATGGGATAGCTAAAGCATCGACTATTATTTTTTCATTGACGAAACTTGACAGATAATTGTACAGGGTGACACAAGATACAGTATTATCAAAATTAAGAAAAATATCATGTATATATTTGATTGTAAGGAGGTAATGTGCAATGGTACACGTAAAAAGGAAACCCAATCTGATCCAAAATCGTAGATTTTTGTTGGCTATTGCACCCACAGGGAAAATGTCCACTTGGAATACATTTTGACAAGATCTATCAAAGGATAATTTTTCCTAGAACCACGACACAAGAGGACAATTCCCAAATAATCACTCCTTGATCACATGACACGATTTATCCAATTAGTTCTAGAGAAATATCCATACCACATTTTAGTTCATGGGACTAAAAAGTAGATCGCATTTGGAACTAAAAGTAATGCAATTATGCGATCACTCAATCTTCACTTGATTGAGGGCTCGGGAGATTTAAGAGAACTTCTTGAAATTTTGACTTATTTTGGAATTCAAAGTATATTTCAAATCACGTCAATGATCAACTACATTATATTGTCGGTACATGTAAGTCTGTCTCGTTTAGCGGACAGTTTGGGACAGAAGGAATAATAGTTTTCACGAAATATAGTCAACAAGGCGCGAGTACTTGGCGATGTTCATACGAATGCAAATCTTGGACGACTCGAGTCTTAATTCCCAGTTTTAAAAGGGATGGTTATTCGTTTGTTGCCCAAATGTTAAATCTATGTGCGCCATTTGAGAAAGGGTTAAAATACACTGGGGGGGGGGGGGTTATACACCATCATGCAGAGATGATCTTGGCACTAGATAACGAAAAGGACAGTTCGAGATTATTTGAAACACTGTATTTCCATCACAAAGAGCCATGCAGAGGAAACAGGACACGGTGTCAGAAAAACAGTTTTCAGAACTGATAGATTAATTAATAATCCACAAAGTAATTAACATAGTAATGGATATATGAGAAAAGCACGTGCCGGAAAATACTGATTTCTCCCTTGATATACCGAATTATCAGATAAATATAAATTCGTGTTAATAAGAAACAGATGTCCTTGTAATGCCAGGGTCATTTTGGGAATAGACTATACCATTGCTAAAGTGGTTTAACTTCGAACTGGACATGGTTCTTTCGGGGACTTCAAAATAATATAAATTGTGTGTGTGGTCCTTTAAAACTCGACGTTCGTTTTGTTCTTGAATTCACAATATTGTTGAAGCCAATGTTTGTTTACACATGTTTATGCGTTTACTTAATTGTTATTATTTAAAAAAACAATAATTGATACATCAAAATTTTTAGATAATTAGCTTAAAGCCTGGACATGGGACTTTAGGACACAATATAATTATTTTATTTTTTTCTTAAGATACTGAAGTGTTTACATTTACCATTTCAAAAGAACGGCTTTAATAAACAAAACTGTTATATACATTTATACTATAACAGTTTATTTCGAACATTTTTGTGAATAAATGCATAGCTAGTGGAGTCACTCAATTGATTTATTTTTGAGGTGCAGCTATTTGACAAATATGTGGAAACGCACCTTGTCAACTCCAGGATGCATTTTTTAGAATAGAACAGAATACAAAATATAACGTGATTAGGAGTATAACTGAATTATTCATATGGAACCGCCTTACGAGTAGCCTTCATGCCAACTTAATGATTTTTTAATTTAGGAATGCCAAATTGTTCATTAGACATGTCAACTTGAAAATATACTTTAAAATGTCAATGATTTTTTGATTTTCCATTCATGATCCTTACATGTACATAAATTGATGATTTTGTAATGTAAATGCCAAAAACACTCCCAGGGTGTCGAATTAACCTCAAATATGAAACCTTTTGGTGACACACCAAGTTGATTAATGTTATAATGAGTGGGCCGTCGGTTTATTAAAAAATGATAATAGAAATCATTGTTCGTATTAATTGTGTAGACTTACAAATTTGGTAATATATCGTTGTTCGTATTAATTGTGTAGGCTTGATATTTGTATCGTTGTATGTATAAATTGTGTAGGTTTAATAAACAATCAGTTTGGATTACTATTTACCTCCAGTAGGATGTGGATGATCAATATTGAATGTCAGGATGTACTGGTTTTACAACACTCTAAAATGTTTTTCACATGTTTTGTGGAAACAGATAGATGTCATCCTGACTCTCTTTTATGTATTTCTGTTCAAATAAAAGTTCAGCTTGCAAAAATGTTTTGGAGTTCATACTTAAGTATGTGAAGTGTAGCCACATATAAAATATTTATGATATGTATTTAAATCACTTGTTTTGGATTAAATCCAGTTACGACGTTCTTTTAACCATGGGCGATACTGAAAGTTTACTTTAGAAAGCAAATGCTTAAATCGTATTGCTCCGATGATACATTTATATTCAAGTGTAACATTATTTGTTCAATACTAGCAAATAAATTGTTTTTTTCTCGTCTAGTTTTTAGGTTCATTTAGTACATCGTATAACGGGCACCAATATTGTCAGAAAAATACAATAATTTATGAATAATCGTTCAATTACTCAAATAACATCCCTTGAAAATAAAAAGGCTGTACGTTATATTAATCCATCTTAAATATTTTGACGCCAGCCAGCGTTCCAATGGGATAATCAATTAGATATATCTGTAAATTGACCACCGGTAAATTAGACCAAATGGATGCATAGGAAAACATGGCGAAAATTCTGTAAATTACCTAACAGGATGCAGCAAGTATCAAGGAATTTGGTCTAGTATACTACAGTAGGTACTAAGTCTGGACGGAATAAATCAATAAGAACTTACTATTCCCCTTGCATGAAGACTACCAGCATCACCATCGTCTTCTCGTTTCGTCCGGTGCTTCTCTGTTTCTTTTATAGTCTCTTCCTGTTTGGTTCTCCTTAGGGGGGTAGCCTGACCCCCGGGCAAGGCGATCAGTAGTCCAGCTACTGCCACACATGCTAATGTCTGTAATAATCCCTCGGTTATCCTAGTCATCTTGATATAGTTACTGTCAGATCATAAAATTAAAATATCGCACATGAGTGTATCATTAACCCCTATGTACAAGTTGGTTATTGTTTCAAGATTTCCCTAAACAGCTGTTCTTGTACTTTCCATGTCTTTAACTAAAGTGCCCAGTTTATTAGTGTAATCTTTCCAAGTAACAGTATCGAAGTTCACTGTTTGCTGTTCCCTGTCTATCTTAGTTCTAACGTAAGTCAACTTCCACTATATGTTATATTATTCTAAAACATGTTTCACCTTAAAACTTGTGGTTAAACTTTTCAAAACATGTGATTGGCTAGTCGGTTATATTAAAATATATTTCCCATTTTGATTCAGCGCATAAACCATTAAACCAACACACAGTCGGGCTTTTAATACGCCGAAAATGTCACCAAGGTACTTAAAGAAGTAGTCCGCAAAATGTTGTTTCTGTCTCACTAAAAACCAAATTAATTAGCCTGCTTTTGCACCGGTTGGTTGACGAGTGACTGAGTCATGTGCCGTGGCTAGTAGTTGGAGAACTGCACTTTCCAAACCGCATATATGCACCAAGATACCAATGGTTGCTGAAACCTCTAAAACTGACATAAAATCGTGTGGTCTAAGTCAGGTATTGCACTTAAGCTACTCATTGGTCAGGGTTCCAGTTTCAAATTCGTCTTGCTGATACCTTGTGGCGTTTCCTTATCCCTATATCATGGATTATCCCGAGTTAATCCTCTAATCCCCTGATGCACTCGTGCAATGTATATCCTCGCAGAATATCAGCGTTCAGAGTCGTTCCTGTAAAACAATAGAACAGTGATTCATTCATTACAAGAATCCTAATTACATAACAATAATAAGACTCAAACTCGATTAAAAATGCGCACAATTCCAGCTTACACCTACACATTCATCAGACTCTTGCTAAAAGTGAAATTCATACGTTGCGTGCTTAAAGGGTCATTTTGTTGATGCAATGTATACAGTTACCTCCCATTTCATCTGGTAGCCTAAACATCTCATTATCATTATACGCTAGGCTTTGAACGTCGCCAGATCTCATGGGACATTTACACCGATATGTAGGCCCAGCTGTTAAGGAATAACAACTCTTTGGAAGTCTTAGATTGTCCATTGACCTCTAAAGAATTACCCACTTGGACGAATAAGTCAACAGAGTAGTTTGTCACTTAATTAACCCTAGGGAAAATCTTATTTCGAAAAACGAAAAACTATTTTCAGATGGATTACGTTTTCCATATAGTTTGACTTTTCTACTTTAAAAGAGAACTCCAAAGAACTACATGTATATTAGTCTCTGATACTCAGGCCCGTAGCCAGCTTATGCCAAGGATGGTCACTTTTTAGAAAATTCTAGGGGGACCACATGAGACCACCGTGTCTCAAATTCACTCGAAAAGTGCTCAAAATGGTGAAAAACTGCATGATTTTGAAAGGATTTCTGTCACAGGGGGGATTCGCTCGCACCACTGACCTCCTTGGCTAAGGGCCTGCAAGGTATCACTTTTGTTAATTAACAAAGTTTAATTAGGTTCTGACACTTGACGTAGTTTTCTGTTTTGTAAATTTTATTTTTATAGATTCTATGAGTTTTGCATGGAATCCATTTGCATGGAATCCCTTTGCATCCATCCGATGCCCGGGATCCGATGGCTAACAAAAGCTCGGGAAATATATTAGCAGAGGGAATTGGAATTTGTATCTGTTGATGCAAGACTAGCTTAACCTTTTCAATATTTTGATTTTGCATCTTGAAAAATAAACCTTCATCTGGTGATTATTAGAAGTCTCTGGGTCACGGGTAATAAATATGCAGGGCGGACCTAAAAATCAAGAGAGGGAGGGGGGGGGGGCAAAAAAGATTTGGACCAAATTTCTTAAAATAGGCTCAAAATTAAAAAATAATGCCCAGTAAGGCCAGTTTGTTACCAAAATTGGTTTGTATGGGGAGATGCAGATTTTAGGCCCTAATTTTTTTGGCCTCGATTTTTTGTTATTTTTTGGGGAGGGGGGGGGGGGGGGTGACCAAAGGTGGGTCCTATCCCTCCCCCATATCAGCCACTTATATTTAGGATTTTGTCATATTCGAGCTTTTAAAGCACATGGGTTAAGTCACCCCGGCTCTATAGAACATAACCTATAATAAATCGAATATACTGCATATCTATATAGAGAAACATGAGGGAGAGGAAGGTGAACTACTCCCCGTGCTTTAATGCTGTCTGCATTTAGATATACTCCACAATCTGCGTACATAGCAAATTCAACCAATGCTAAATCTCTTACCTCCTTAACGCTTTTACCCTTGGGAGCCTCCTTCTGATCCGAATATAAGTGAACAGGCTGCTTAAATAGATAAGAGGTATTCTGTTGCTTTGAACGCGACATTCCTGACACTATGATTGAATGCAGTGTGGAATATGATTAGAGAGTTTAAATGATGGTTTATGTATGAACAATTGGTTGAGATATTTCTACCTCGGGGGATAATATCAAATTTCTTTACCCTACAAACTGACAAAGAGGTTATTTAGGAGAATGATGAGTTTTATTCCGAGGGAAAATATTCATTTTCAAGTTTGATTTGTCATTACTCAATGATGGTGACATAAAATCAACAGTGTCACGATTTATCGTCTAACATTTTCAACTTTTATTGACAGGTTTTAAAATAGAACGAAAAATGTAAAATCCAAGCGATGCAGTTCTGATGCGGGATCTGGAACGGAATTTTGGCTGATTCGGAATCCAATACGGGATTTGAATATCAGTTCTATTCCCCGTTTTTTCCCAGAGAAAACATATTATTTAATTATGGAATAAACGCATCTAATAGAGTTAAAGATAGGATCATTTTTTGAATTTTTGGACAGCCCTCGTATACCATACAAAGAATATCAATCAAAGCCATTATAAGAAGGGCAAATGCCCTCTACAAACAATAGAAAGAACCCCTCCTTTCCCTGCTTCCATTTCCTGATAAGTGAACGTACACATGAAGCAGTACAGAGGTGGTTCAGACCCAATTCCACAAACACAGCATATTCAGTCTGCTAACTGTACAGATCAGCGTCTGTAAACACCCAAATTCATCTCGTAATAGTTTGTTTATCGTGGTGTAACAAATAAACGAACGACTTAATTTTTACCATACGTACTTCAGACTTGAACAGATCTGATATGCCAAGTATGCTCTGCAGTAGACGAAAAATGACTTCACCTCAAGAAATTATCAAAAATGGGCCTTAAACTTTCAAAATTTGGGCCTAAATTTTGGATTAAGCAAGCACAGATATTTTTTCAGACTAGAAATGTGTACCCCTGTTAATTTTCAGATCCACCGCTGTCCATTCTCTAGTACATTATTATTCTACATGTCTATAATTATACTGACTATACTACTCATGATACCATACCGCATAACAATGGGATAACAGGCTTTAACATGTTTTTGTCTCTGAGTGAGTCATCCAACCATCTCCATAACCCCCCCCCCCCCCCCGGAGTACTGAGGGAGACGAGCACTGTCTAAGATGATTACACCTACCTTAGACTTACCAAGCAGCCAAATGAACGCTTATATATGTATGTTCAATGTACGATAGTATAGTAATATTCTCTGATTCATTGCAGGCTATTCTAGTATCAACAATCTGCAACCTTCATATTAATCCGTTTACTGTTAACCAAGCGATTGCATCTTAGGCCAACATCCAAGGCTTTCAAGGGCTTTGCCACTGTCAGATTGCGCACTACAGTGTACTGTATTATCTGTTTATCACTGTTTAATAACACCATTTAGAGTATAGCCAGGTAGGTATGTCTGTCTATCACATGTAGGTGCCTGTTATCTGTACATATCTAGTATATTATATATGTATTTATATAGTGTACGTACCTTATCAGGACTGTAGGATTAAGATTTGCACTGAACGAACCAACATCAAGTTAGACCGAGTCTCTCGACATCGTACACAGTCGACGTTATTTACATATAAATCCCCGGGGATATATCAATAAGCTTATGATTTACTGCGCCATCGATGCTAATACACACTTTTCTTGTCTTGATTATATCTGATGATGTAGTACAATCATTCATATTCTAAGGTCAGATTCCTGAGTCGGTTCTATTGTTAGCTAGAGACTCGATCGAAGACTGCATTTGCAATGAGTCTGGCTTTTGTTACAATGCTAGGGGTGAACCATTAGAACTCGTCAGACCCGTACCCGGCCTTTGTAGCCAATCATATGTTTCTATTGACAGGGCGAAATATGTTTTCATTAAAAATTGTGACCCATGAAGATCTTTGACAGAAAAGTTCAGCTCCTAGACCCCTCGCCTAATAAGGTCAAAATGGTCGGTCCCTATGGTAATTTTGGTGATTCATGATCCACACCTATCGATGTCGAGAAACGAGGAATATTAACAAGACTTGCAATGGCACTCCAAGTGTGTAGAAACCCAAACAAATCATTTATTTCCTGCTTTTAAAGAAAAATATCCATGTCCAGGGAGAAAATGAATCAAAATTTTTGTCCCTCGGGCCATATTGCAGCATCCCATGGTGTATTTTAATTAAAAAAGCGTAATGATGACTCATTTTCCTACAATGATAATATTAGGTCGCGTTGACCTTATTGTCGTCTGACAAATTGTGTTTATGATTTGTTTAACATCATAAATTGTCTCCCGAAGGAGAAAGTCCTCGTTAGACTTTTATAGGGTTTGTTGACTGTTTAGTTAACCGATCTTTTGCTATGTCGTACCAAAAGGGGTAATGCAGAATTGAGAGTGTACTTCTGATATTGTGTTTCCCTACCCTTTGCATTCGTTGACTTCACTTCTTAAAAGAGAGCTTCGTCTTCGGTAGATTATAACTAAAGTCTGCGCGCAGGGTAATGTTTCCCATATCATACCGCAACAAAGAATGGGGCAAGGGAGCTTACTTGGTGCAAGACACGATCAATCAAGTAAAAAGCTAAGCCTGCTGAATCAACCATCCCCCGAACCCGGGCCCCCGAAGGAGAAACTCCAAGACTTACTGTAGCAATGAAACTTGTGTAATTTTATCTTCTGTATTTATTTATATTCTGACGGTGAGGAGACAAAATAAAAATATAGGCTTTTAACATGGACGTAGAATAACGTTTTCTCCATAATATAAATAACGCATACATAACTTGAAAAACGCGGGACATGCAAAACACTTAATGTAATTACACTCGCCTATTCTTGCAGTAAAACAGAACCACTCTACACAATCGCACCCTTCAATAGGCAATAAAGATGTGTAATAGCATCATTTCCGAACAATTATGGAGATAATTTTTAACCCCGAATTATCTCTGAAATAGCAAGAGTTTCAAAGGGCAGGTTCATGACTAATGTATCCATGCGAGCAGATGATGCGTGAATTCAGAGCAGATGAAGCGAACTTCAGTTCAACGTGTTCTTAAAGTCTCGTCGCTTACTCCACCTATTCGACGAGATCAATGAATCTGATCAGGCCTACAATATAAACGTTTCAACATCGCTTTGGAGATTGAAGATTTATTTCTTCAATTATTTTTCAATTCTTTTGAATTACCCACCCAAATACTCAGGGTGGAAAATTTTCTAAGAGGCTCCGTTAAGGAAAAAATGACTTTAAGAGCTGGATGGAATTTCTGTGTATTTTTTATTCTATTGGGGTGTCCTGCATAAAGGATTTCGCCTGCGAAGCATATAACTCTTGCGAACATATCTAAATACTGGTCCTAAGAAGACATACCTTGAATTTTTTAGAAAAAAATTGGCTAAAAATGGAAACTACAAAAAGTCAAAATGTTCAACTCAAACAAAACTCTAGCTATTTAATATAAACACTATGTATTATTTAATGTTTTTCAGATGTTTAAGGACCTTCATTAGTATACTTGTGTCTAGAAATGTGACATTTAAGGAAAAGATTTGGCATTTTTAATCATTTTCGCTTTCAGCATTAACAAATAGTTCCTTATATCTCAAGTTTAATGCTCACTGGTTGTTGCATTTTTGATTAAATCTGTGCTTGTACATGTGTTCTTCCATTTAAGGTATAGAAAATGTTTAGTGGACAATAAATGTTCGTATGAGAGCTTTCAGATCTCCCCTACCCCATTTATTATGGAAAATTACCGAAAAATATGAAAAAATAAAATAACTTGCAATTATAAACTTTAACAAAGTTGTAGCTATTCTATGTCAATATTATGTGTTAATTAATGTTTTTAAGATATTTCAGAACCTATATCGGTATACAAGTGGCTAGAAATGAGACATTTAAGGACAAAACTTGGCATTTTTTTTATCATTTTCGCTTTCAGCAGTAAAATATAGTTCCTCATATCTTGAGTTTTATGCTATCTGATTGTTGCATTTTCAATCAAATCTGTTCTTGTGCATGTCTTCTTCCATTTAAGGTATAGAAAACATATAGTAGACAAACAATGTTCATATTAGAGCTTTCAGATCTCCCCTACCCCATCAATTATGGAAAATAAACGAGAAATGTGAAAAAATAAAATAACTTGAAATTATAGACTTTCATTAAGTTGTAGCTATTCTATATCATTATTATGTGTTATTTAATGTTTTTAAGATTTTTCAGAACTTTTATTGGTATTCAAGTGGCTAGAAATAAGATATTTAAGGACAAAACTTGGCATTTTTTAATCAATGCTACTTTCAGCAGTAACATATCATATCTTGAGTTTTATGCTGACTGGTTGATGCATTTTTGATTAAATCTGTTCTTGTACATGTCTTATTCCATTTAAGGTACTGAAAATGTATAGTGGACAAACAATATTCATATTAGAGCTTTCAGATCTCCCCTACCCCATTTATTAGGGAAGATGACTGGAAAATATACTTCAAACTACCAGTATAAATTTTAACAAAGATGTAGCTATTCTTTAGGTGTTATTTATTGCTATAATTACTGTTTCAGGACCTTCATTAGTATACTAGTGTTGAGAAATTAGACATTTAAGAACAAAATTTGGATTTTTCATCAAATTTTCATCATTTCCACTTTTAGCAATAATGTTTAGTTCCTTATATCTTGAGTTTTATGCTAATTGGTTGATGGGTTCTTGATCAAATTTGTTCTTTTGCCTGCCTACTTTCATTAAAGGTATTTAAAAATGTATATTGGAAAGCCTGTCATTTTATTAGAGCTTACACATCTCCCCTACCCCATTTATTTTGAAAAAATAACCAGAAATATAAAAACCAAATAATTTGAAAGTATAGACTTTAACAAAGTTGTCGCTATTCTAGATCAATACCATGTATTATTTGATATTTTTCAGAGGTGTCAGGAACTTCATGAGTATACAAGTCTAAAAATTAGACATTTTAAGTTGAGTTGCAAATTGGACGGGTATTCTCTATCTTTGTCCATTGGGCTTTTCTGGTTATATTATGTTGCAAACTGCTCATGAATCTATGCAATGTATAGTACAACACTTGAAATATATTTAAAAGTAATGGGGTATAGTACTGTGATAATTATAACCAGTGATGAAGCCATATTGATTGAATTCCCTCATATCAATTGCAATGTTGTCAAAGGCTTGGTGATTTCCATATTACACCTAAGGGTGGTGTTATTAGGAAGTTCATGATGGATATTGGGCTTGGGGATATTTTGGTAAATGCAAACATTGTGAAATGAAGAACAGCCAACAAGATGATTTTGGAAAGGATTACAAAATGGTAAGCTGTCTTTCGTTTGTGAAGCAATGTTACTGTATCTCTAAAATGAGATGAGTTTCACTCATGGCAGAGCTGTTATTGAACTTTGCAAAACTGATAGTTGCAACTTATAGACAATCTATCAAATACTGATCATGAAGAAGTTGACACTCTCCTTATGGCCCATGTCTATTACAGTGCTGCAGACAAGACAAAGAAGTTCAATGTTGAGAGAATTTGTATTCAGTCTGATGTTACAGAGTGTTGCTTGCAAAGAAGTATGAGAGTTAAAAAGAGCTCTTAAAGTTTCTTATGTCCTTCAAGGTAGCATTCTAAATTACTATATGAATCTCAAAGTGCAATACCTATACAAAGATGAGTGTCTTGTACCAGTACTCACAAACAAACCTTCGTAGCAACATTAGAAACATATGTCCTTGGCAATTCGCAAATGTAAATTGGCAAAAGGCAGAGAAAATTGCAAATACAAAGTTTCTAGTCAAGGGTGTAGTGCTACTTGTCCATGTGGCAATAAACAACATAGTGCACATAGTGGACAATATATTTGAGTAATCTTTTAAAAATATGGTAGTGTAGTAATCTTATCTCTAATATGTATATTTGTGTTTAAAACACATTTTCCATGCTTTGAAGATAACAAGACACATAATTGAATATATATGATCTAAAATATGTTAACTAATCACCATTCAACTAAAAATATAAACAACTATTGCTGAAATTGGTCATTTTGCCCATTTATGTGTCATTTTTTGATTTTAGTGTGCTAATAAATGTGCTAAACTTTTGAAAAGTTAAAGAATATTAACATGCAATAATAACATTTGTGTTGGTTTTCTTATTAAATGGTGAAGGGCAGATCTTAGACCTCTAACAATGTCTTACATACATTTTCTTTAAAGGAACATTCCTGGCCAAACCTTTTCTATCCTGATGTGATAGCTATAATCATATATATACTTTCCATATTTAGCAAAACATGGGGAAATGTTTTAATATAGTCAATATTGATAATTTAAAAAGATTTAAAAAGATTTTACTCAGGAAGTGATGTCATCGACTCTCAACTTTCATGACCTTGCATATAACATTATAGGAAAATAGCGCAATATCACTTCTAGACGAGTGA